TGTGTGTGTGTGTGTGTGTGTGTGTGTGTGTGTGTGTGTGTGTGTGTGTGTGTGTGTGTGTGTGTGTGTGTGTGTGTGTGTATGGATGTCTGTCTGTTTGTCCGTCTGTCTGTCTGCGTATCTTTGTGTCTCTCTATCTATCCGTGTCCAGCCGTCAATCTAACGCTGCCGTCGTCTCGCTCTTCGCAGGCGATCTGTTCCTCGTCATCTACAGCGTCGACAGCTACGAGTCGTTCCGCGGCATGACCGACCTCCTCGACGAGATCATGGCGACCAAGTACGAAGCGCTGAGTCGCGACGCTCCTCTGCAATCGCCGCCCGACGTCCCCATCGTCGTCATCGGCAACAAAGCCGACCGCGAGGCGCAGCGCGTCGTCGGCCGCCAGGAGGCCGAGTCAGCGGTCGCGCGGCGCGGCGGCGTGCCGCTCTTCGAGACGTCGGCGAAGAGCAACGCCAACGTCGTTGCTGCCTTCGCTCGGCTCTTCGAGCGCGCCCGCCTGCCCGTCGAGATGTGTCCGTCGATGCACAGCGTTCTGCCGACGTTCAAGATGCCGCTGCTGCAGCGCTCCAGCTGGCTGGACTTGCTCGGGCGACGCAGTCGAGCCGAGGCGTACGGCGTCGTCATACCGAACGTCTGCCGGCCGTGTCTGAGCAGCGAGCTCGAGAAGATCCAGGGCGGCAAGTTCAAGGCCGGCAAGCTCGGTAACCGCTGCGGAACGCGGCGCGCGTCGGACCCGACGCGCGTCGTCGGAGAGAAGTGACGCGCGTCGTTGGCCGGAAGTGACGCGCAGGAGGAGAAATTCGTGGAAGACCGGGCCATTGCTTGCGCAACCTATTATATCGTGTTGCCGACGCATGTTGAGCATTTCTAGCCTTTAAGCTGCTCTTCTCGCTTCGTTTCAAACGACGCGAGTTAGATAAAAGTCAACTTATATTTAGTCCCCAACCCAAGCTATATACCAACAAGTATTTCAGTTGTCAACCGAATCGGTTTTGCACGCGGTAAATGTTACAGTCTAACCGATTTAGAGACACCCGTCATGTCAACGTACTGTAAAATTGACAAAATCGGACGTGCGTATTGTCAGAAACATAGTCGAGAATGTCTAGCATGTCTCAAATGACTTGTTTCGTGAACTGATGTAAATAGGTCACGCACGATGCGTTTGTTCTATGTATGATGGTTCACACTATAGTTATTACGTTTCGAACAACGCGGGTTGTACGTGATGTATAAAAGAAACAATTGAAAAGGGGGAAAAATACC